CCATTCTACGGCCCGCAAAGTGATTATGCGGCCGCATAATGGGCCACAGAAATGCATACTTCTGCAAAATATTTTCCTTTAACTCTGTAGCGCACTGTTCAATCCAAAAGGTCTGAATCGCGGTGAGATTTAACAATCTCTAACACATAATCCTAACTTGGCACCACGAAATTTCAGTTTTTAGGAAATTTTTTACGGGGCCTTACATCTAGAAAGTCTGTTAGTGGCTTTGTCATATTTCTTGGTGGCTGACCTGTGTCCTGGAAGTCTAAAAAGCAGTCGACTATTTCTCTTTCCTCTGCTAAAGCCGAATACTGGGCACTCCGATTGCTCGTCGCAGAGGTGGTTTGGATTCTTAGGCCTATTTCTGATCTTGGTGTCACTAACTTGATGCATGCTTATGTTTTTGTGACAAACAATTAGCTATACATATAGCCAAGAATCCGATGTTTTATAAACGGACTAAACATATTGAAGTTGATTGTTACTTTGAAGTGTGGTGTTATCAATTTTCTCTCCATCTCTACCTCTTCTCAGCTTGCTGATATTTTCACTAAACCTCTTTTGGGTGTTCTTTATGAGGCTTTTATTTCCAAGATTGGAATAGCCTCCCCTTCCAGCTTGGGGGAGGGGGGAGGGGGGTGTTGGATCACAAGTTTGTGCAGCAGCCCAGTCCACTATCAAGGAAGCGCACTAGAGTTGAACTGGCCCAACTAAAGCCTACCTGACACACATTAATATTGGACTATTGTAACTAAGACTCGGTTCAATATTGTAATTAGAGTATCTGATTCAGTTTAAACAGGAGAGTTGACTGTCGAATAAGAAGAGAAAAATTATTTTCCTTTTGTTCTCTCTCACACATTGAAAACAAGGGTTTACCATTTACATTTTCCTTTAAATCTGCTTCGATCCTTCGTGTTTTCAATTCGAACTAAATTCTCCAGGAAAGTGAAATAATTTAAAATTATTTTAACTTGTAAAATGAGTACATTGATCGAAGCAAATTATTGCCAATTGCATCTAAAAATTCATCAGGTAGAGAAAGACATGGGATTGGATCGCTACAATTATTGGTTGCATTATTGCTGACTTTACTTCATCATCTTTTACAGTAAATGCTTCCTATCTAGTGTTGGACCCAAATATATAAAATCGAAAAAAACAATAGCTACTAACAATATTGTATTATAAATAACTATAATTCATCAATGATACAACAAAGTCATCTGAAAGGTCTAGGTGGTTTTTCTAGCACCGCAGAAAAGAACACTTCACGATCATCTTTATCCAGTTTAGGAACAACAAGCCACTTTTGTTGCTTATACTTCAGAATCTTGAATGCTTCTAAATAATCATTCAACTCTTCCTTCAAACAGAAAAAACTATCGATCCATAAAAGTCCACCAGGCCTCAAAACTCGATCAAAATCATATAACACAAAATCCAGCAACACAAAATCAATCCAGCCATCAAGAAACCTCGTCGTATGAATCAAATCTAATGTGTTATCGAAAAATGGTAGCCTCTGATTTATAGTTAAGTAAAGAGGAATTAGCCCTCGAAGAGCAATCATCTCGTTAAATGGTGCACCGAGATTTATTGTTGCAGAAACTATAGTGACATTATGTTCCCTCATTCTAGCAGCAAATGTGCCTGTGCCAACACTGAAATCCAGCCCAATTCTGATCTCTCCTGGCTTCATATTAAGTACTTCTGTTATCAATATATCAGCTGTCATTTTCGAGTTCGAGTCTTGGTACGAAGGAACAATCCATCTTGGAGATTCATGATGTGTAAGATTGAAGCAATCTATACATTTGAAGAAACCTTTGGACGTTGAATTTCTAGCCAAACAAGTGAAGTTTCTGCATTTATACTGACTCCATCTAACATTTTTGTCATCTGGTAATTTCCAAAGGGATTCATTTATAGGGTATGGTTTATTGTACAATTGAGGAGCTCTAGCAAAACACCTTCTTCTTGGTAATGGATCACAACCATGAACCATAAGCTTTTGTGCTAATCTCCAATCATCGTTGCACATTTCGCCGATATCATAATTCATGTACTCTTCTAGCTCTGTCTTCATTGAAAAACAAGCATGACCAATGCTAGTGAATGTACCATTAGCACCCATAAAATTCTGTTTTTTCAGCCTGTTTGGTTTAATTCTCACATATTTTCTGATTTCTTCTGTCAAGAAATATTCAGCAGGTCCATTGGACTGTTCTGATTGTTTTGACAAGGAATGTAACACTGCTCCAGATTCACTATTTTGTAGTAGTGATGTCTGGACTGACTCAACTAGATTTAAAATATCTGCAAGAAAAACAGCTTGTTTTCCAGAAAATGATGTTTCATGATTTGGCAGCTGGCGCAATATGTCGATTTCATGTTGGATTTTCTGGATTACAGTATCTAGAGTTAAATCGACGTGATGATCGATTATACAAGAGTTTATGCGATTGTTACAGTTGCAGAAGGAATTTGTTGCTAGAAATGACCTGAGAGAATAAATTTTGGAAAAACTAGCCATACATATAAGAAGAGCAAGAATAGAGAATATGAAGATTAACCTGTGTGTCCCTCTCCATGTTCCCAACTTCTTTATGATATTTGATTTAGGCATCTGTTTCAGTATGAGAGCGATAAATTCCTCTGTTGAAGACTTGGAATATCTTGAAGAAATTATGGTCGAGAGACAAATGATTGGAGCAATTTCAAGAAACACTTGTATGACTAGTTTCATGATTTAAGTTGGATATTATGAAGATTGATGATCTTGAGATCAGAGTCCACATGTTGCATTAACTTGTGATGTACTTTTCAGGTTTTTGGGAAGAGTAGTTTTTCCTTATCAGTCCCGTATTCTCAGCAAAAACTTTAAAATTCTCAAGCTACATTATAAAAATGCCTAAGCTCATAGTCATGAGTATGAACTCTTGTGCGCGCGTGTATGCACGGGTGGTACATATATATTTTCAAAAGAATTCCTACTCTATGTATATTTCAAGTCAAAGGTCACACCTGCAGCTTAAAGGCTACATTTGCTACTGCTCATGCTAATGTTTGTTTTAATGTCATGTTAGTGAAAGTGGCACTTTTCTTCAACAACAGCACAACACCAATTAAGTAGAGAGTAGAAATGAAGTTTGTAACAAATATAAGGGCAGAGAATGTCATCTTAGCTAGCGTTAGGGACATAAATTTGGTGGAAACTTAGAAAAAAATAAGTTTTTAAAGATGAGATGAAAAATAATTTTTGAAAGTCGACATTGTATTTGGACATGCATTTTACTTTAAAAGAATTTGAAGTTTTGTGAGTAGAAAACTTCAAAAACTACTCTAGAGCTAGAGCTAGAGCTGTTTTTGGGATTTGAATTTTTTTTCCTCAAAATTTACGAAAAAAATGATTTAAATCCATAAACAAACAGCTATTTGAAAAAAAAAAAATCCGAAATTTTATGGCATAAATTTCTTAAACTAGCATGAACAAGACAAGCAAATAGTGAAAAGTGTTAAAGTGAAGGGAGCTGGAAGCATCTCAATGTGATGGATTATAGTACTACAAATAAGTAGACAAAATGAAGTATGAAAGTCAAGAAAGCCATCTTTATGTATTGGAAAATAGAAGAGGGACTTCGAAATAAATAAAAGGTACAAGACAAAATGACACCAATCCCAAAAGTAAATCTAGAAAGTCTTTAAAGAAATGAGAGGAGGAGAAGAAGAAGAAGAAGCAGGAGGTTTTCTTTCTTTCTTTCTTTTAGTAGCTCTAGAGGTATTGGAAAAATAAAAGGCAGAGCGTATCTTCATATCGTTCTATGTGCATGAAAAATATGCCTTCACAAAATTAAAAAAAGGAAGCACCAAAAGTTCACTTAAAGCCCATTTCAAAGTCCCACCTCCTAGCATCTTAGACTGGAATACACCTTTATCTTTATTAATAATTGTACTTTTTTCACTTAACACTATTGCTGAAAAAATGAAGGGCTGATTTATTTTCAGGTAATGTTAGGATTTAAAAAATACTTGGCTTTGGTTTTCTTCTTCGAAAAACCAAAAGAGCTAGCTTACCAAACCAACTTATTCTTGAAGTAGATTGAAATGAGGATTTGAGCAAAATATTTAAGTCCCGTTCGGCCATAGATTTTGTCAATCTTTTTCTAAATTTTGTTTTGGTAAAACATGTTTGTTTATATATTTTATTTATGTTTTGGCAGATTTTGAAAACAAAATTTCTAGATCCCAAAACTAAGTCTAAACCTGTTTATTGTTGAATTTTTTAATAATTTTAAAAATTAACCCAAACTTTTGTATTTTATAAAAAGTTCACCATCTATTATGACCCAACTAATCTATCAGTTAATTGCTACCATTTTCTTTGGACCGATGGATCTTCTAATATTATTGCAATTTGACGAATTATTGTGGCTAGTAATTGTGTTATTAAGAATTGATATTAAAATATCAAGTTATGATTTTAGGATAGTGCATTATGTAGTTTATTATAAAAATGATAGTTTTGTGCCAATATTATCTATGTTTAGGACTATGATTTGTGATAATGAATGGCATATATAGGACTAGCAAGTTTGTTTGTTTGGTATTGTTCAATATTTTTGATAGTTTTTAGAACTTATGGGTATACGTCACATTTCATGTTTATTCAAAAAATAAAATAAAATATGTTTTGAAAAATTATGTCCAAACAGATTTTTATCTTCAAACCAAACTTCACCCAAATTAGGGTTATAAAAATAAATTTGGAAATTTATGGCCAAACGCCCGCTTAGAACTAGATAGAACTCAATTTTCCCACTTATGAGATTAAACTGAGTTTGTTGTTTTTGTCGTAGGTAGAGCTCAATTTCACCTCTTCCCACATAAAATTGAGGTCAAAACTGCGACACTAGAATTTGAATGTGTCAACATTTCTTCCACAGAGATTTCAGGTTAATAACTTGAGAGTGAAATAAGTAACTAGGAGAAGACGCTTGATACTCAATCGTCCATTCTGTGTAATCAAGAAAAAATCATCATAAAAAACACAAACACAAACTCAAAGTGATTCAACCCTAATATTAAAAGGGCAAAAAATGAAACTTTTAATTCCAACAAAACTTTTTACATTTCCAAATTATCAAAAGTCCACATTATATATTATACTCTTCTTCGGCCATCGGAATACTGAGAAAGTGGGACCACCTCCGACAACGGCGTAGATAACGGCGTCGGCAACGGCGAGTTCCGACAAACTGGACATGAAGCATTCAATTTCAGCCACGCGTCGATACACATCACGTGAAAATAATGCTTACAGTCCGGCATCATCCTAAGCATTTCTCCATCCTTATACTCACACAAGCATATCGGACAATCATTTCCGTTACCGTTACCGTTTCTTTTGGAGTAAACCAACTTAGGGTACGAGTTGATTACGACTTGATCAAGACCCAACGTTGCGTTCTGTGATGAAACCTCGTCGTTTTCCTCATCATCTTCCGCTACGAATATGATACGAGGTAGGTAAATTCCATTTTCACTATTATTGAGGTTTTGAGAATTGTGTTGGGCTTGACGGCGGCGGCGACGGGCGGCGGCGGAACGGCAGCAGATGTAAGAAGCAAGGAGGACAGTGGAGAGGAGAACGAGGAACCCAAGAGCTATGGCAATTGCATAACCGAGGCCGATGGTGCTGAGGTTCTGAGAGAGGGAGTTGGAGTTGGTGGTGGGTGGGGGTGTGATGGTTAGAGGTGGTGGTTGGCGGCGGAAGACGGAGGAGGACATTGGGAAGGGAGAAAAATGGGGTTGAGAAGGTCCATGAGAAAGGGAAGGGGGGGTTTAGGGGGAGAGAGGGTGGGTGGGTAGATTAACTGCTGGTGCAGCTACGGGCATTTAATAGTGTAGTTTGGAAAACAGAGAAGGTCATTTAATGGACAACATGGGGGTTGATGATGACTTTCGCCTTTGCTTTCTTGCTTACTTGGTTTAGTCTTTGGCTTGACTATGGGTGGGTTGGAAGTCTAATTTATTCTTGGCCATGTATGCATGTTGATTCTACTATAATTGTTTGGTATTTAAAATGTATTATCTCGATCATAATTCAAATTTATATTCGGTGGACTTGCTAAAGTGTTAAAGTAAATCGGAAAAAAAATCAGAAATAACCATATTTACAACTGGTAATTAAAAAATAGTTACGGTTTTAAAAGTAATTAAAATTTAGTTATTTTTCATGTAAAGATAAAATCTAAACAAACATAGTCCCGCATATTATGCTAGAACTTTGTTACATAATCCAATATATTATGTTGGAATTTTCCCTATTTCAATAAAACAATAGCTATTTTTCAATGATTTTGCAAGTACTGACTATTTTTTAATTATCAGTCCGAAAACTAGTTAGTTTGTACTATTTTTACAAGTAGATCGTATCAACTTTCGTTTTCAATTCTCGAAATTGAAAAATGTAGCAAGTAAGAGCGAAGAAATTTTAATTATTCCACCACGCCACCGAGAATAATAAACTATTGATTCAATGGTGAGAGTGTCAAACATATATTATAATCTTGGCTCTATGTGTTCATTGCGATTTGATTAGATACGAGATATTTATTGTACAATTAGATCGGATCTAATAAATTATCTACCTTCCTTCTCAAATTTGATTTAATGAGTTGTAGCGAAAGAATTTACTTTCATACCATCAACGGCATCCAAAATTTATCAAAAGAGTTATCTATGGTAGCCTTTTTGGTAAAGTGACGTGTAGTACAGTCATATCTCTCTGTAATAATATTGTTTGTTTTTATATTTTTTTTATTTTTATAGTAAATGATTGTTATATACCTATAATAACATTTGACGTTTAAATATATTTTGACTGTTATAGACAAAAATTATCCAAAAAATAATTTTTTTTATTTTTTAATATTACATATTAAAAGAATTTTAAAATTAAAATCTCAAAAGGTATGAATATTTCATGAATTAAATGCTAAAGAAATCTAATACATTAAAAATTCACAACTAAATGTACAAAACCTCTGAGGCACACAATTAAATATTTCAACGTTGATGAAAGAACTCCATAATTGTACCTTGTTTCATAAATTTCAATCTCTTGCTAACTGTATAACGCTTGAATCGACAAAGATTTGCGTCCAAACTTTCAGCAAAATAACTTCAAATGAAAAGAATGATGTGCATATCTTCAAAAAGTATAAATAGATCTATTAAATATCTTTTGGCATTTTTTCTAATGCAAAATATATCATTCTTCAGAATAAAAAATATTTGATGTGCATATATTCATGGAATGTACTGCCATCCTTAAGATTATGTATTTTTATTATAGGTTGTATATTAAAGTTATAAATATATTTAGAATTATTATTAGTAATAATCTTAGAAAATCTTTATGGTTGTTATGGAGAATAATTTTATAAAAAGCGCACTATCATAAAGAGGACTATTGCTGTTATAGGTAGAAAGCTATTATAGAAAGATAAAATATAAATAAAAAATCAGTTCTGAGAAAAACTAGGCTTCTATAGTGAATGACTGTTATATAAAAATATTGTTATAGAGAGGTCTGATTGTATATAAATATAGTAAAATTTTCTAACTTGCCAATTCATATTTAATGTACAGACTTACTTGAGTTTGCTTTTAAGTAGCTTGATTAAGTGTATAGGAATTTCTTACAATGTCAATAAAAATTAAAACTCAAAAGAAATGAATTGTTAAGAAGTTTCTCAAAAGGGAATCACAAAGTAAAAAGAAGAATTAACCCAAATAGTCGAGCATCCGATCACTTAAACTAAAAATAATCGGTAAAGATATAATATATACATAAATAATGTATTATATGTATATAATTATGTATATAAAATCTATATAGATGACTAGAAAAAGTAAAAAATAAATATGCCTGACTATTTATGTAAAGATCCCTATTGAATCACAGCTTGTTTCTTAGTTTGAAAATTACCAATTTCTAGTCATATAACTTCTTCTTTTTCAACAAGTGATAGGAGGGGAGGGAATAGTGGCAAGGTGACGGAATCATGTAAATGTTATAACATTTTTAAAGAAGAAAATTTCATAAATTCCAATACAATATCAAGAAGTCTGCCCTGCTGGCCGTTACCATCTTTATTCTCAGTTTCGAATCATTGATTCTGCTCATATACTAACATATAGCAGTAGTAGCAGCACTTTATTTACGGGCAATAGTTAGAACTTTGTAATGAGAGCCTTACCCTCATGATTAAATACTAATATTCGAGTAATATGAGTCATTTTGCTCGAATGTCATAGAAACTGACCCATCATGTAAAAATTAGTGCGCTGTTCAAATAAGTGCTTTACATAAAGTTAATTTAATCTCAAGTCTTTTTGAATGATTGTTCCCGTTGAATCTCAATTTATATTCGGCATTCTCTAAATAGAACTTTTTTTTCAGCATTCCTAATGAAAAAGAAAGAATATAAATAAAGTACATATTATTACAATGATCCTTTCCTATTTATATTGTTACTAGTTGGAGGTAGTCCGGGGTGTGCCACTACTAGAAATCCGGTAAAAAGCGACCACAAAAAACGACCAAAGTTGATCGCTTATAGGCTTAAAAGCGATCAAAAAGCGACCAAACATGCCTCGTCGCAATATTGCTGGTCCCTTTATTTTAGGGGCTAAATATTCCGGGTAAAAACTATAGCGACCAACTTTGGTCGCTTTATTATTTTAATAATATAATTTTGGCGACCAAAGTTGGTCTCTAAATGTAAAATACGTTATTTATTTATTTATTGATTTATTTTTTTAAAATAAGCGACCATAGTTGGTCGCTAACTTCAAGAAATAATTTTTTTTTAATTATAAGCGACCAACTTTGGTCGCTTTATTATTTTAATAATATAATTTTGGCGACCAAAGTTGGTCTCTAAATGTAAAATACGTTATTTATTTATTTATTATTAATCATAAAAAAACGACCAACTTTGGTCTCTAATCCAAATATTATATTTTCAAATCTAGAAAATAGAGACCAAGATTGGTCGCTTATTTATTTATTTATTGATTTATTTTTTTAAAATAAGCGACCATAGTTGGTCGCTAACTTCAAGAAATAATTTTTTTTTAATTATAAGCGACCAACTTTGGTCGCTATATTTCCAGAAATTATTATTTTTTAAATAGAATAGCGACCAAAGTTGGTCGCTTTTGAAAAATCTGGGTTAAATAGCGACCAAGGTTGGTCGCTATTGCCCAGAAAATTGTTTATCTTTTAAGGGAAAAGCGACCAATTAGCGACCAATTAGCGACCAAAGTTGGTCACTTTTTTTGGTATATTTTTGCCCGAAAATGTCTGTTTTGGCAGCTACACCACATGTCAGCTTACCAAAAATCCTAAACATGCATTTTATGCCAACAACAACAACAACAATAAACAACAACAACAACAATAACAACAATAAAAAACAACAAAGTATAAAGTTCAATAGAACTAACACATTAAGCTAACAAAACTAAGTTAACGCTTATTACAAGCCCATTCGAAAACTGGTTCTATTGTCTAGTTCAAAGTATATAAAGTACTCAAGGAGTGTTCTTTCAGCATCCTCATCCGAAAGTTGGATTGCCTCGCCCGACTCATTAGGTGGCTGACTGCGTATGAATTCCCCCACATCAGCTGTGAAGCGAACCTATAAGAAAAATTATATTGAATTAGTATTTCAAAATTTATATAAAAGTAAATCAAAATACTTAATGAAAAGTAAAAAACTTACATGTATAGTCGAGGCTCGACCCTCGACCCACCTTTCTAGATCAGTCTCTTTCTTCTTCTTTACAATACGAGTCTCATTGAATAACTCATCTTACTTCATTGGCATCATAAAGTTGTCTGGTGGCTTTGGTGATTATCCTCGTGGTACTATTACTCGGGATGAACTTAGATACAGAGAGTAACTTGGATACAGTACCCGACAGGGTGTGTCTTTGATCAATTGTTGTTCTCATTAGCGACAATGATGATGAGAAGGCAATG